AGACACAAAGTTATAGACATTAGATTCATTTCTGATCTTCAGTGATGCGCTTCTTGTTTCTGATGTTGAACACTGCAGTTTCTGGACGTTATCGTCTTAATACTGACTGGTTGTGATGGATCTGTACGGTCGGCAGACGTTACCATGACGCCCAGCTCATCGCAGATGTCATAGAACAGGTCCTGTTCGTAAACGCCTCCTCCCCAGACCCGTAGCGCGTTCATGTTGGCGTCGACGGCCGACCGCAGCAGGTTTCTCAAGCTGCAGGACGATCGTAGGGAGATCTTAGCAAGTATGTGGCGTCAAAAGGAGTTTAATGCAAGCCGCTCCCTGAACAGGAGAGACTGACCTCGCCGGTGTCACTTGGTCCTGGAAGGAGTGAGCTGGGATCCAGTTGGACCCTTTGAGAAAGACAGGTCGGTCGTTGACGCGGAAATAGAAGCTCAAGCCCGGAGATCCGACGACGGGCTCCTGGACGAGTTCCACCGTGCGAAAAAACACCTGCAACAGATATTCAGCTCATAACTGAAGATATTAATTTTTTTTTATCATTTTAAGTTCAATTCTGCAAGTCTAATAACTTCCAGCAACTAAATGTCCTTAGATTCCAACATAACATGCGGTGAGACACTTATTAAGTTAATATTTTGAAGCCTGAAGGGTGTGTGTGAGGTACGGGTTAGCGGTAGAGACTGCAAAACTTATATTTTGTGATCTTTATTGCGATAACAATAAAAATGATTTAAAACTTCTTTACAGTCTTGTTTTGGGCAAATGTATGCATGAGACTGCATGCCAATGTAATCATAGCCCATAAAACACAAACACTGCTCATAAAAACACTAAATAGGCTTTGCTAGGGCACTAGTTACATGAAGTGTTTTTTTTATTACTAAACTGTAACCATATTTACTCAAATTTATGGATTTATTGACGCTTTCAGGGAACAAACAGAGGAGGAAATGAAATAACCATTTTCAAACATCCTTAATTGGAATTTATCTTTGTAACAATGAATCCAAATCATACTGAAATTTTCACCACGGTTAGATGATAGTTTGATCGTAAATGTGAGCCTGCTGCACTGCAGGTCTGAAAACTAGAGGAAGATTCTGACCTTGGATTCTTTGTGCAGGATCAGAAACTTCCCCAGAAAAGCCCTGACAGTGAGCAGGTAGGCGGACTGATCGCCGAGTCCACTGGGCCACCAGAGCTTCACCTCTCTGAGCTGGACAAAACAACAACAACAACAATAACAACAAAATCATGATCAGAAAGGGGATTATTTAAATCTAAAAACTTCTAAAACTTCAACAGGGCACCTGGCTGATGTTTAAGGTGAAGTTGTAGTTGAACTTTCCCTGGAGGAACATCGTCGGGACATCACGTTTGGAGTTCAGCTCAGACACGGAGATTTCCACTTTGCCGCGGAACGACTGAACTGCGTCAACCAGAAGCTCCACCTGCAGCCTCCACTGAGACGAGCTGCGATCTGGACGAGCGGAGCAAAGAAACAAACAGTCCCAAGATTCCTTTGAGACTCAGCGTGCTTCTTCTTTTCTATTTGCAGTTCTGAGCGAGCAAAGGAGTCGGAGACGAACAGCAGATGGAACTTACCGTACAGAGGAAGAGAGGAAAGCTGGATAAGCCGCAGGACGTCGAACGCCTCCAGTCGGACTCCTTTCCAAAGGCCCATGGTGGGAAAGGAAGGCCCCCAGTCCCAGCTGAAGGAGCTTTGCTCCTGCATTAAAAAAAGACAGAGATGAAGATCAGCTTTCAACTAGTGACGCTTTCATGTGAGAACTACAAACTTTAAGGGAAATTCTTAGGATCCATTTTTTGTGTGTGTGTGTGCGATAAACCAACGGACAGCAATTCATCGACTTGTGGATTGAAAAAAGTTCAGAGGTATGAATCAACACAGTGGAGCAACTTGAACAAAGCAATGAACGCGGTGCCATACGGTGGCGGCAGCATCATGCTGTGGGGAAGTTCATACACGGAACAGGAAAGCTGGTAAAAGTCGACTTGAAACCGTTTTCACGTGACGAGCGAAAACACACGACGGGACGATTAAGACAACAAATTAGGGCTGAAACAATTAATCGTGACCTATCGATGATTGAGACGATCGTCAAGTAATTCTGTAATTGAGTGATCGCCAACTGGAGTTTTCAGACAGAAAAAAACTTGAAATTTTTCTGACATAATAACAGAGCAATAACTAAGATAGAACTGTGCAAAAAAATCTATTTTGGATTTGATAGAAAGAACTTAACTTATAACTGAAGTCGCACAGTTTGAGTTTCACCTGGTACAAAATAAATTTACCAACCAACTACACAGTACATCTACAGGCTTGAAGTATTTTTTTAGCTACAGCTTCATCCTTTGAGCAAAATGTAAATGTTACTGCATTTCATGCAATAATGTTTACAATCTAATTTTAAAAAGGAATGGAACTATTTATTTATATGTATTTTTTGCAATGAATTTCTTATCTTTTCACCTGAACAATTGTCAGAATAGTTGACTGCTTAACTGATCATTAGCTGTGGCCCGTGAGAATGATCGGGTCAGAAGTCCGGACACACATCGGATGGAGAATCTGTGAATCGACTCAATTCAATCCGACAGAAAGGAAAACAAAGTACGGGCTGAAACTTTTGTCCAGAAACAAAAATAGGCAGAACTGATCCAAAAGGGACGAGTCGTTTTGTATCCAAGGCAAAAAAAAAAAAAGCACATTTCCGTCTTACTTTTCGGATGAAATTGACGTGACATTCGCCTTTCTGGACGTCTGGCGGACATTCAGGAGGAACGGCGTAGGGAGAGTGAGCGTTCCTCCGCGCCGCGGCGTACAGGACCGGAGAAAGGAAAGCCACTTCCAGAACGTTCTCACCGTCTCTCAGCAGCTCTCCGACGGAGAAGTCCTGCTCTCCGCACAAACGAGAGAGAGAGTTTTAAAGAGACGGCACACTGGCACGAATCGACACCGGACCCCCGTCCCTTTCGAGCCGAACTCACGTATCTGCGAAACATGTTGTTCGTCTTCCCCAGGCCGATCCCGTTCAGAGAGATGGACGCGACGGTGTCCACGCCGTCGAAGACGAGCAGCGCCTTCTGCTTGACCCTGATGGAGGAGAGAAGGAACAAACGGGTCATAAAAGCCCAGCGACGATATGACAAACGAGAACACCGACCGTATCTGAGGAGACGCGGCGAATGTGGTCGTGTACGTCCAGTTGTCGAGGGCGATCCATCGGTACAAAACATCGTTAAACCTGAAATATGGGTCCTAGAATTCAGAAACGAAACACGATTTTATTTGAAATCGACAACAAAAAAAGATTTTAAAAAGAACAATTTTTCCCTGCAACTCACGCACAAGTGCTGAAAATGTGAGCTAAAGCACACAGTAAGCGTTTGTTAACATCTCTGTGACATATAGTTTTAAAAAACTGTAAAGTTAAAAGAAAATGCAGTTTGTTTTGATGTAGCATTATTTTGTATTTGAATATTTCTGCTAATAGTTTGTCGTGGAATAATTGCATTGAATTCATCAGTAATCCTTTTTAGATATATTTAGAAACCTGCTTTTTCTGAAACATAATTTTCCATAAATATCAAAACCCCACGGTAGAAAAATACCTCCATCATCTTTTGACAAAGGTTTTGCTTTTCTCTTTATTTTAAAATAAAGAAGAAATGAAATGGCATCTTTTTATTATTATTATTATTTCAAACATGTTCACATTTAAACACCATGAAGTGGTGCAGGTCAGAGGTCGCAACGTTTTTTCTTTGTTGTTTTTGTTTTTTTGCATAAACTCTCCAGGGATAATGTGGCATCCGTGTCTCATCGAGGCGACAAAATAAGTCATGGATTACCAATTAGAAATTTCTATTAAGTCTGATCATGTCCTATCTCTGTTTGGCTTTCTAATCGTACAGCCAGACAGTTTTAAAGAGGAGCAGCAAAAGCAAACGCCATGGATCAGCAGTGCTTTGCCAACTCACCACCCCTCACAACATGCCACAGTGGAATATCATCTATGGTGCCCAGATAATGAGTTATTAGCATGTCAATTTATATCGACTGAAAGTTCATGGCACTTGATAACATTTTCCTTCCTACCTGGATGAGCTGCTGCCGCAGCAGGGCGGAGTGGACGCAGCCAGGAACCTCCGCAGGCAGAAGCAGCGACCCGTTGGAGTTCGCCAGCCTCCACTTCCCATTCAGACTCAGCTCCAGTCGCTGCTCCTCCGCTGAAGACAGAACTCCGACAACTAGCCACAGCGCAGCCCAGCTCACCGGAGTCCAAACCTGCGCCATGGAGGCAGAGTTCACGCGCCCATGACTGGCTGGCCGGTGATTTCGGAAGAGCGCTTCCGTGTTCGTCACGTGACAAAAGCTGTGGCAGGCAGCTGATGGCGGAGTGATACTGGTAGCGCGAAAACAAAGCGTTTTGTTTTAAGCACAAAAAAGGGCCGTCACACTGGTATTGTTTAAAAACAAAACAAAAAAAAAAACAAATACCAAAGTCGCACATTTTTAAAACTAGCATTTTGATAATATGAAAAACACTACTTAAGTTGCGTGTAACTGGTGCAAAACCAATTTTGTAATCCCACAGTAACAATTACATTTTTCATTTAAAATAAAACTTTCGCCCCGCCCATTGAGTGGGCGGGGCCAAAAGCTTGGTAATCTATTGCGCAGTTTAACCAATCAGAAGGCAGTATTTTCAGTCAAGTCATGGTGACAACTGTCTGCTACAAGCGTGTTTTCAGTCTACAATTTGTCCAGTTTATGAATACATTAATCGATTTGTGTTTTCTATGGTATCATTCAGAGACTGATCACAATGTATTCATCCCATTTGCAATCAAACCACTTTATTGCAGTTAGTTCCACAGATTTTCACCCACAGCGTTGAACTGAGCAAATAATTATTTTTTTTGTCATCTTCCATTGATGAAAAACAGCATCAAAAGAATATAGTTTGAAGAAACTTTATTGAAGGGAAAACTAAAAAGAAACAGAGCTACGAGTTGATCATCAACCCTTGAGCTTTGCATCAATATGTCAGGGCTACAAGAAGACAGTGTTTGAGTGGGCATAAAAATTAAAAGAAAAGAAAAATGCTCATCTACTGGCTTCTAGATAACAGAAGAAAAAAAAAAAAAAAAAGGAAAGCATTTGTGAAGAACCAATTTTTTCCCCTACCCCCAACTGTGCCAACCTTACAATTCACTTAATTTGCAGAAACATCAGATATAATAGCCTACCTTTATTAACATGCATAAAATACAACATTGAACTTCTTATATTGGTTTCCTTAACATTGATATATGTGCTCTGCTTCTCTGTACACTTGGACAGTGGAATAAGATACACTTATCAGATAACAGATTCCTACACTACTGATCAGAGAAAGCTACTGATGTCACCTCAGTTCATGAGATGCAACCAGTTTCCTCACGCTCAAATTCTGCTATCTGATAAAATGCAGAACACCACCAATTAGGAAGAAAAAAAAAAAACGTGAAATTTTGAAGATACTGTGAGCTCAAAAGACAAAAAAAAAAAAGAAAAAGGATTTTTGGAAACGAGAAATGCGGCGATCAGAGACAAAAATCCAGACGGGTGACGAATTGGAGAGAGCGTCGTGAGATTGATTTTTCAGCACGTTTCAGGAGAGAACAGCTGCGTCAGAGTTTTGAAGTGTGAAAATCATTACAATGTGTTGAGCGTTCTCAGGAGGGTGTTTTTTTTTTTTTCCTTCTGTTCAACTCAAAAAGGAGTCACAATTTGACAGAAACTGGCATGACCTACAGAGAAAACACTATCTTCTTATGAGCGTGCAGGTGGGAAAAAAATAGAAAAGAAAAATAAAAGAGGGGAGGTAAAATGCATTGATTAACCAAAAATACAGTGAAAAAGGAAAAAAAAAAAAAACCAACTGAATCCCGTAATTTTAAGTTTGAACCAGCAACGATTTCCACCTGCTCTTCAAACGATGTCATCACATTGCGTACTTCTGTGTCCATTCTTTTGCCATTTTTATGTATCTGTGAGGAGAAAGACGGTCGTTAATTATCAATACCAACTATTTCAGATTCGGCGTTGAGGTTGTCGTGTAGCTTTACACTTCATCAAACACATCATGCACCTTCAGGTCAAAAACATGTCCTACATTACTCACTCACTTGTCAGGGATTGTCTCCATTTACATAAATGGGAGACTTTAGAGAGAAATTATGTTCATGCTGAAGTTAGTAATCTTTCACATGCACACGTACCCTGTTCCAATTTTGTTAAAATACAAATTGTGATGATGGAAGTTAATTTTAGTACACTTTTCATCCATATATGGAAAAGAGATGTCTGTATTTCACAGATAAATACAGACACACCAATGATTCAGCTGTTGCCTGTCTGGAGACTCAAAAATTGGGATATTTTTTCCTGATCATTGAATGCATCATAAGCAATCACTACCAGGCAACACTGATATACAAGACACTTTGGCTTGGGTGACATTAAATGAAAAGTTTTCTGCCATCAGATTTATCCGTCTTAATGTCCAACATGTTCGAGTTACAACATGCTGGACACCTTTTGGAAATCTTAGAGATAAGAAAAAAATATATATGTACACTGCTTTTGGCTGCGTCAATCATTATTAGTAGATGCCAAAGACTGTTTAACTGTGCTAATCCATAAACTAAAAGCTATAAACAAGTTTGAATGCCCTTATATGACAGATAAGACTAAAAAATTTTTTTTTAAAAAAACAAAAGAAAATCAGCCAATATTAGTATCAGCAAAACCTGGCCCAAAAAATCTGATTGGTGCATCTTTGGGCTGGACAATATGGCTGTTGAAAAACATGATACAAGCGTTCCATATCAGTAGATCATTATTATTGATTAGGGTTTTTTGTTCCAAATGTATGAAATGGTGGCAGAACATTTCCTCTTTTAGCCACAGTTTTCACTCCATGCTGGTATTTTTTCAGTGGTTCTGAGGAAATTTAAACTGTTGCTGCTGCGCAAGTTACTCAGCACTTTGTTGCTAGGTGACAAAAGAGTGAGTTGGTTGACACCAATCACCAATGGCTAAAGCCTTTCCTCTGATCTGGATCTGCGAAATGATTGAACATCCTATCAGAGGTATTATCTATTGAGATTGACCACGTGTCTGTAGCAATATAGAAATTATTTTATTGTCCAGCACTAGTGCAACTCTACCAACAGAAAAAAGTATCTGAATTTCATTTTTGCACAGAATGATCTTGTGTCTCAGTGTCAAAATAAAAACGGGTTAAATGTTTAAGCATAAATCGAAACCTAAAGACCAACAAATGGGTTCCTGTATATCTTATGGAACAATTTGACCAATACATTTTTTTCCCCTTTTATAAACACAGACACAAGCCTCTGGTTAGGCCAGTGAGGTCAGAGCATGGCAGCACATCCAGTCTCATAGCAGCAGCCAAGATGCAGCTCCAGCCCTTCACCTTACCCTAAAGCATGGCATATTTTGTTGTCCACTCCTGAGCTAGTTTATTGTACCTAACAAAGTGAAACCAGATTACATAACAGATCCCAACCATTTTAAATTGATAATATAGTTTGTCAAATAAAGTTTGTATACATCTATATATATGTAGCTGAAATGACCGTTACCCAGATATACAACTGGCTCATTTTCAAGTTTATTCAACATGTTTACTTACTTCTGACTATCTGTTTTGTAGATTCGTGCGATCTCTGGCACTAGAGGGTCGTCGGGGTTTGGGTCACATAGGAGTGAGCAAATGGAGAGAAGAACTGGAAAAAATAAAAATAAATAAATAAATATTCTGTTTTCACAAGATTAAGACTTAATATGTGTGTGTATAAAAAAAATAAACCCAAATCTCACCACTTGACTCGCATGAATATTCATACCTTTAGAAATAGTAAGTGCTGGAGACCACTGTGATCTGAGAATATCCAGACAGATACTGCCGTTACTGTTAATATTTGGGTGGTAAATTCTTGTTGTGAATGCAACCTGAAGGGGAAGAAAGAAAAAAAAAAAAAAAAAAAAGATATATGTTACATAAGGGAAAACTGCGCACGTTTGTTACATATTTTAAATTCTTTTCCAGAGATGACGGCCTGCTTCAAGTAGTGCGTCACAGGTTTCCAAACAAACAAACGAGTTCTAAAAACCAGTTTGATTTACAAGACGTGTTTTGATGGAAAGATTAAGAAAAAAATAAAATAGGGACAGTAACTCCCCCAAAAAATGTAATCTTCACCGCGACCATGTGTTCTAGCGTTGTAGTTTTATTGAGTGCGTCGTCTTACCTTGGGTGGTTTGAAGGGGTAGTCTGTTGGAAAATGAATTGTCAAGAAGAAAACTCCTCCCTGATATGGACTGTCGCTCTGAAACAACATGGACAGTTTTTGCTTTAGAAAGGATTCATCAACACTTCCTGAATGCAGCTCTCTAACATTTTCAAGTCAAATTTTGACCTTTATCTTACGGACACATTCAAGAACGCCATTCCGGTTTATGTCGGTGCGCAACTGTTATGTCATAAAATACTTACTGGTCCCATGATTGTGGCCTGCCAGTGAAACACTGTGGAGAACAGAAAGCAAAACATTAGAAAATGGTGAAAGGTCACAGGTATGTGCTCTGACGGGAAGTATTCAGCCAGAGATATCTGATAGCTTCCTGGCAGCAAATGTTTGTTCCCTCTCGCTGGGTAACTCTGCAAAAGGCATTTTATACATAAGAGGCAAGAATTTGCATATTTTGTTTTCATCTACCAATCCAAACTGTGACTTTTCTTTCACTTTTAAATTTGACAAAGGACAATTTGAGCATTTTAATCATGTTTTCTGATCCACTTCATTTTGATTTTGAGTCTTATTCCCCCATCTCCATTTTCTTTCAAATTCAAAACAAAAATCAAAGAACCTACAATGCTTGAAAAAACATGAATAAAATAAGAAAACTACAGCAGAGGAGCAACAACAGCAGGTGAGGATAAGCCAAATCTGTACATCTTTACAAATTATTACAGTAGTAAATTCATAGGTTCTTTTGAAAAATAATGTGGCTGAAATGGAAAACAAAAAAACAACTTACTGTCATCACCCACTGGGCCAGCTGAGCACTGTGCTGGAGGGTCACGAGCCAGGTCATTAAGTTCCTATAATAATTTTTAAAAAAAGTTAAAACAACTAATTAGCTGACAGTAATGGGTCAATATTATTTAAAAGCAGTGTAAGGAATTGAGCTTTTAAAATCCTAAGTGTCAAGATGTCCTTTCCCTGTCCACTGACACTGTTGATCCCCTTTCTATTCTCCAGATGCATCTGTGGACCACCTACCATCATCTTACACCGTAAACTGGAAAATTCGCCCCATGTACGTGCTGTAAAAGCTACCCTGTTATTTATGGGTATACAGCTATTTTGGAGTGAGGTGGAAGCATTGCCCCACCCCGGCCTTCAGACACCATTTCACAAACAAGTTGAGGGATTTCCTTGAAGGAATAATCTAGAGTGAAGAAATTGAGCCGACCTGTCAACATGCGAGTGTCCATTTAACAGCTCGACGTAAATGTAAATATAAGTAAATGAGTACGAGCAAATTCCCAGAAAATGTAGAATTTTACCCGGCGTAGAGTACAAAGACGGACTCGGAAAGTAAAAAAAAAAAAGGAAAAAGAAAAGAAAATGAGTCATGAGTCCGAGTATCTCAACTGCCGCACTTCAGCACGAGCTCTGGGCGACCAGAGGGCCCGAAACCGCGCGTTGTGTGTGAAGGTATTAAGAACTGTGACAACTACGCGACATCTTGTTGTCAACCCGTCTCGACGAACAAAGTTAGCCTGTAACTGAAACTGCTAACAATAGCCAACGAGCCGCCTGGTGTTCAGCGAATAAACCTTAACCGACGTACGTCAGTGCTAGCCGGTAAGGGCGAAGTTTAGAAGAACGCAAACCGGCGACTGACTAAACTCAAAATTCATCCAAGTGGCGTACGTGAAAGGATTGTGAAGTTGACGCTTCCTCGAACACGCAACACCGCCTGGTTTCACAGGATACGGCTGCATTGTGGGTGGCTAGCCCGGCTAACGCGACGAGCTAACATTTCAACGACGGTGTCTTACCTTGTGAATCCTTTTCAGAGCCATCCTTTCTCGGTGTTCTCGTCTTTAGGGTGAAGGTTTTGCGGTCCAGCTACTGAACGTCGGCTGTAATCTGCCAGGGCGATTCGTTCAGTTGGAATAACTGACGCTGGGTCAACTCGACGGCCTTTCTTCTTTAGCTAGCGCAATTAGCTGGCTGGCTAGCTAGCTAGCGTGCTAAAACTACGTATGCGCGGAGTTCAAACACCAGATGTTAGGCTCTCTTCTCCTTTTTCGCACAACGACAATTACTTATACGAGACTCTTGGTCCCCACGTTTGAAACTAAATAGGTGCCGGTGTCAAATTTAAAAAAAGAAAAGAGTCGTTAGTCGACTGCGCTCCTCTCGTTTTGGTTTCGGTCGACGCTGTTAGGTAACTAGCGGCTGTCTACATATAGTGAAGCTTTATGACGACGGGAGGCGGTCCTAACTGCGCGTGACGCAGCGGATATGATGGCAAATTGGGTGCAAGCCCACAGTAAAACTAAACTGGTCAGAGCGGTCGTGAAATTTGACCCTTTATAAACACACCAAAATATGAATCGACATGTGATGCATTGTGCTATTTGGAAGAAAAAGAAGAAATATACAGGGACAACGATTCAGTCAGTTGTAGTGGATAGGGCTTAAACAAAGTCTGAGACACATTTTTGATTAAGGGCAAAAACCTCCTCATGTCACGTTTTCCTTTCAACCACCATCACATAAAACCCTTCATTAATATTCATCTCGAGGTTGAGACTTACAACTAATGACTGTTTCGTGCATCTGTTGAGTTTTACTTTTTTTGAAGTAATTACTGTTAGAATTTTTGAATCACATTTTCATTTATTGAGATGTACGTGTTCTAAATGGTTCACATTTTAGGGAAAAAAAAGGTTATCAAAGTGAATTTGTAAACTGCAGTACTAATCAATTAATCAATAAACTAATTAATAAACTAATCAATTAACACCTGGTGAGAAAAGTGGAATGAATGGTAAAAACAAACTATTATTTCAAGATGATTTTTTTTTTATAGTTCATGACAGTTATTGTAATAATTTTCTGCTTTTCAATTGTATGGTAAGTCTACACAAATAGGTCCAATACTCGTATTTTTTTTTGCTAGTGTGAAGAACATTCCATACAAGAGATATTTGGGTCTTTTTATATAATTGATTCACATAGAGAAGGCAGATGTGTTTGATAATCAAGCCCAATAAGGAAAATTGGACTTCAAACCCATCAAGGCACAGATGGAGCGCAGTCGGCCGCCGTCGTATGGGAATCTGTGGTACCCGAGGACGGCGCCTTGAGGATCACATCTGAATGCGTGATGAAACCGTGACAACTCGTCACGGAGTCGGCAGAGTTTTGATTACATGATACGAGAGATGTTGGGGCGCCAACAGGACTCGTACCACCTGAGACGAGCTTCTGATTTTCATCACAAACGTTTCCCTCGTGTGATTGAAGGCTGTGGCTCGATTTAGATGTCCTGGCACAATTGGGATGGTACGCAAAACCGTGGAGTACTGATAACTCGGAGGCCGTTTGGTTCTCGCTCATAGCTCCAACATCTGTCCACGAAGATGAGTCTGTGCTGTTCACCTCAAACGGGCTGCAACAGTCCTCAGAAGTTCTTCCCAGTTGGTTCTGGGAACTAAACCTAACCTCCAGTTCACTGTCGGATCTTGCAAAATCTTGGACAACTAAGCTTTCAGGCTCAGTCGGGCGGCCTTCCCTCTCGCTCTCCTTCTCCGGCTGTTGCCGGGCGAGATCCGGGTTTCCCTCATCGCTCGGCCTTTCCAGGTGCTGCTCTCCTTCTTGTGCGAACGGATCCGGCCCCAGTTCCTCCTGGGGTGCCGGGCCGTCGTCCCCCGGAGCCGGGTCCTGACCCGCCGGTGTCGGTTGGACCGTCTGGTGGCACAAAGGACACGTTTCCTGCACGTACAGCCACTTGCGGAGACAGTTGCCATGGAAGAAATGGCCGCAGTATGTGATGACAGCAGAGCTCATTTCCTGTAGAGAAAGACAAATCTGGTTTTAAAAGAAATTTAAAAATACTTTATTGATTCCCAAAGGGAAATTAAATGTCATAACCTATATTAATTCGAATTCTTCAGAGTTGGTATAGTTGGTGATATATGCTGGCACCTGTAGCAGTCCGCAATTTGAAGTCGCTTCTGACTAAAGGCTGTTTTTCCAAAACAGGGTGTTCTATAATTTTATTTTATTTAAACTTGATTCAGAACTCTCAGAACGAGGAATTGCTCTAATTTTAAATGAGCTTTTTTTTATATTTTGTTTCCGCCCCGATTCATATTATACATTTAGATCTCCATCTGTATTTACAGTGTTGCAAATAAACAAAACAAAAGCGTGAGGTAAAGAAGGTGGAGTCAAGCTGGAAAAACAGGAAGAACGCGTCTCAAAAGCCCCACACGGCGTGACGCATTTCATACTACTGCCGTTTGTTTGCAGAGCGGACCTGAACCCAGAACGGACCAGAACGGCTCCAGGCTCCGTTTTGCAACTACGCTCCCGTGGATACAATTTATTGACGTTTTAAATACTTTGTCCACTTGGGATTTTTTTCACAAAACTGTAGTCGTTTTATGAAAACTTAAGTGACCGATTTTAATCTCTGAATTATTTACTCAGTTTAAAATCTCCAAAACTGCATTAAACTTGTAAATTAAAAAATAATAATCAGAACTGAATGAGTATATCAGTTTTTAGAAAAGAAATTGACTGCTGACTTAACTGGTCAGAAAATAATAAATCTGATATTTTTACAGATTTTTCAGACTCAGTAAATCAATTGTACCTAAACTACATAGTGTTAGAACAATATGACAGGGTTCCCTCAGAAAACTTGCTAAGCCCAGTGGCTGGTTGCTAGAGCAGTCATTCATTGAGCGGCCCGTCGTGTTTTTGAGTTAAAAATCTTTTGAAGTTCACTTATTATTGCTATGCAAACGACTGAGGTGTATGGAAAGCTTGCAGCTAAGAAAGTAATATTACGATTGTGGAAAACTGACGGGGTTCCCCTGGTGGAACGAGCGACACACCTGGAAGCAGATGGAGCAGACGTCGTTGTGCTGGTCCAGCTGCTCCGCCGTGGCTCTGGGCAGGGAGTTGATCTTTTTCGCCGCTTCCCGCCGGAGCAGGAAGCTCTTCCAGCCAGACTGAGCTCGGAGCCACACGTTGAAGTACGAGTGGATGATGATGACGGAGGCGCCCATCCAGCTCCACTCGCCGAACAGCGACTCCCAGGTGCCGTAGGCCACCACGCACAGCGCCACCAGGAACTCCAGCACCCTGCTGATGGCGTTCACCCAGTAGATGACCTCGTCCAGGCTCTCGATCGGGTCGCTGCGGAACAGCTCCACCATGAAGAGGCAGTAGATCAGCATGGTGCCTGTGACCTGGACAAGAATCGTCGTCGTCATTGTTTATTAGGAACGATTAAAACACGCTAGAGTCAGCGTTTCTTTTACTCCTTTTCTTCTTTTTTCCTTTTCATTTTAAATATTTGTTGTGCTTTCAAAGTCTGCAGGAAAGAGACGCATGCATCGTATATGTGAATGTTTGGGAGTGTAAAAGTTTGTGTTTGCTCATTAGCAACCGACGGCAGTCAAACAACAATGCGCTTATAAATGTTGGTACCCCGACGCAATATAGGAAGGGCTTTTAGTACTGTCTATCCAAATCCCATTAGACTCTGTTTATTCCAGGGTCACAAGGGTTTAGGAAGAGTCAAAGTCTGGCATTTAGATTAAATATTACTCTTATAACTCAAAGTGCTACAGCTGTTTATTTTCTGGGTTTTGACACATTGAGGAGTCTGACTTGGCCAGAAAACCAAAACAAGCTCTAGCAGAAAGTCAGTGCTGTTGTTTTCTTAAGCAAGAAATTGCGTTTTTTCACGAAGTTTCTTTGTTGACTGTTGTGCTTTCTGTCCATTTAATCAGACTCTGGTATCTGAGAGTCAGATTCATAATCAAATCAATGGTTAAACGTCCCTCGCTACGTTTACCCATGACAATAAACTGCACATTTTTCTCCCAGTGTCTGAGCCAAATGTAGGTGAGAGTATCTGAGTGAAGCTGCTGTCTGACTAACTTGAAGTGACTCGTGGCGTCTTTAAAATGATCATTTTGATAATTTTATCAAGTGCATATAACCGAATATAACAACTGTGAGCTGTAAACCTGAACCCAAAAACGGAAAGAGGAAAAATATGGAGACACGTCCATCAGGGGTTCAGGTTACTGATGTTGGGCTGCTGCCAAATAAAGCAAAACAAACAAGCTAAGAGGCAAACATTAACTAACATGGAAACATGGACAAACACAGTTTGCATCCAGCCTCTACGCCAACTGTATAATGGTAAGTAAAATTTGTGCAGGAACGTCAAATTCTGTAACTTCAAAAGAAAATACATGGCGCAAAAAATAAAGTAGGATATTATCCTACGTACTACAGAGGGACCACGTTTCAAGAAATTTTATCCTCATGAATAACAGCAATACACATGTTTTAAAGCAATGTCTCTCAATTATTTTACATGACATGATGACAAACAGACCTGGAGGGAGGTCAGCATGCAGCTGGAAACCAGTATGAGGAGCCAGAAGTCCATGTGGAAAAACTGGGATATTTTATAAGCCATGAACACCGGGAAAACCAGCAGAAGCAGACACATGCTTAGGCCACGGAAGTGCTTCCACAAACTTCTAAAAACCAAAGGACAGCAGAAAGAAAGAAAGAAAAAAGAATATATATACGTATATATATAGTTCACAACTTTTTCTCATCTCTGATTCACTGAGCGGTTGGTACCTGTTGCGTGACGCGCCCAGGGCGAGAATGATGGGATCTGTTATTTCTATCATCGACTGCAAGGTTGAAGTCAGCACAATGAAGAGGATGATGCTGAGGAGGAAGGTGCGCTGCAGCGCCTGCATGTCCAGCAGGCCTGTCTGCAGGGCGAGCAGCAGCAGAGTGATTCCCTCGGTCACGCCTCTGACGAAACCAGCACAAGGAGAAGTCAAAATATTTTTGGTTCAATTTAATGTTTGTTTTTTTTTAACTGAGAAAAAATTTTTGTGAAGAAATCTTCATAATTTTGCACAATACGTTCTGGAACAAAGGTCAAAGTCAAATGAGGTCGAGGGGCGTTTTGTTATTTGACGTAAGGATATAATCAAAAATACTCAAAAAAAAAGTTTTTTCCTCACTCTTTGAAGATAAATCAGATCAAACTTTTCTGGTTTTAGCCTTGTTAGGCATACCAAAATTATTTCTGTTTGCTAAACGATTTTTGTTTTATGTTTATTCGCATATTGAGTTGAAGAATTCCGTCTGATGACTCTGAGTGGATTTTAATAACAGCCTCATCAGTCCTTCCAGTTCTTCACAATTCCACAACTGAAAAAATTGTCAACCAAAATCAAGAAATTTGAGGATGTTATCACAGCATCGCATAACTGCGAGTGTGTTGCAAATTTACCAGCAAAAATTGTCAAAAAGCATTTCATTTACTGACTACTGGCTCCCACCTGCAGGTGGGAGTATTTCTGCTGCCTCAGCCTTACTTTTTTCTTCAATATGTAGATTTTTTTCAAAGGGGTTTAATGAGGAAAACATATTGCAAAATTCCTTGGAAATACTTCTGAAGTGGCAACACAAATTTAGTGATTTATACTGCAAAAAAAAAAAATACAAAAACAATCACAAAACCTGACTGTAGCTGAATCGGGTTTTAAAACACCTGGTGGAATAAATGCTACCATTTGACACACGGTCCAGCGTCTGTGACGTTTCAACCTGTGGCTTGATGTGACCAGAAAGCGAGAACAGTCAGGAAGTCGGTGGACGGCGTCTCACCTGTGCATGACGTTCTCGTTCTGCACCGCAGCGTAACCTCCCAGGAAAAACTTGCAGAGGTTGAGAAGTCCCAGAGCCAGATAGGACACCACGAAGGTGAGGCCCAACAGAGAGTACGGCGTGGCGCAACATTCTGACACGCTGCGTGGTTCAGCAAACACACAACAAAACGACTATGAATTAAATAGAAAACAGGCACAAAAAAAGAGAGCAGTGTGAACGCAAAAATCAAAGAATAAACGCACCTAGTGAGCAAAAAGAACATGATTCCCTGATAAGTCGCGGAGGGTCTGGAGGACATGACGTTCGAGCACAGCTGGACGGCGAACAGAACGAACCAGAAGACACTGAACAGGGCCGGAACAGCGAACTGGTTCCACAGAGAGATCCCCAACCCCAGGAGTCTGTACAGCTCCATCACCTAGGAGACAGGAGGCCCCCGGTGATGATGGGGCATGAAAAGATACCTGAAAGGCTTTCAAGTAGCTGCGTTTCTATTGGAAGCAATGTGTGAAACTTTGTCGATATTCCTCTAATGTCAAAAGATAAACAAATACAATTTACAGTTGTGGTGTTTCCAATAAAAGTCACGTGCCATAAATTGTGAAAAAACACAATACTTCGGCTGGTTTCTGTTTTCTTTTTGCTCGTAGTTTCCGTCTGGCTGCAACAGAGCCAGACGTTGCAGCCAGATGTGGAAAAGTGTTTTCCACATCTGGCAGTTTTTTTGCAAAAACTGCAAAAGCTGCAGTTTCGCCAAATATACCAATTTTGATAAAGCCAAAAAAAATAAAAATAAAAAAATTTTTAAAAATTTGATAGTTGACCTTCATAAAAATTTAACAATTTTTAGGGGGGAATTGACATGTTTTCATGATACTAATTTATTTTCGACTTGTCAAATTGTGTAATTATTTAGTCAATGGAAAACCATACCTCTGTTTGTTAGACTGTAATGCTTGTCTTGTATGCACTAATTGGTGAATTAATACATAAAAAATGTATTAAAAAAAAGAAAAAGTCTGCAAAAACAATCAGCGTTTTAGTTTAGCATACAAAAAGACGCAAAATAACCGTTCGGACTGAGGTTTTTGGGGAAGGAATACCTCCAGGTGGAGCAGCTCTGAGTAGGCGGCCCTCGCCAGGCGATATGGCACAAACAGGTTGGCGAGGAAAAAGAGGCCGATCCCTGCCACCGTCAGGCCCATGGAGAAAGTGTTGACGGTCAGCAGCGTGGCATTAGGGACGGCGAAGAGTCGGGCCAGCAGGGGGAGCATGTGAGTGGAGAATAGCCACACCTTTCTGGTCTTCATCAGGAAGGCACAGAGCGTGCTGAGGATGATCTGACCTGTCGTTGGAGAAACAGAAAAAGCAAACTACTTATTTTGGATGATATTGTTCTTTTTTTTTGTAGCTGTAGTAAAATAGTTTTTCCCTTCTGTCTTAATAATTTAACTACTGAGAAAAATGTGCTCCATTTGCCCTTTTCAGACAAACGCATAAACTCCCTGTTAAAGAAATAAAAATGAAAACAAAATTAAGTTTATTATAAGACGTGAAGGACATAAGAAAAAGTTTTCCTAGGCTCATTATGCACAAAAACAAGATTAAGCTGAAAACAGGGCTGCGCCTAGCGATTATTTTATTAATCAATTCTTGATTTCTTTAAACAATTAATCAGTTACTAAATTAGCTGACGATGATTTCAATAATCAATTCTTCACGATTAATCTGATTAATCGCTTCAGCCCCAGCTGAAAAGAAGCATTAAGGAACAGAGCGTGGTTCCTGCTGCGGTGCAAAGCAACAGGAGTCTGTGCAAGAAAACACTTTTTCTAAAAGTTCACATTTACTGAGGAATTAGCTGCTATTAGTAAAAGCGGCTTTTATTAGCAGTTCTTCAAATTGACTTGAAAATGTTTAATTCCCAACATAAATATTTTAAAAGCAGTCACATAAAAAAACGGGTCTTGCTACAAAAATAAGATGTTTTAGCACCCCTACACTGGGCTTAGGAGGTTTTATGGGGGAAAAGCCTAACCGACCGAAACGAAAGGAAGCACATAGAAACATTTAGAGTCAACTTGGCTCAAGTACTCACTAGTCATGGCAGAGACGAATCTATTAAAGGCCGAAGAATTGAGATAGACCGCTCCTTCATATCCCAGCTGCACCTCCTCTCGGACATAATCCCTGGAAAAGAAACGGGAAACGAAGAGATGAAGAAATAGCATGATCCTATTACAGGATATCCCACCGGTGTTAACTAAAAGCTTAGCTAGCAAACGAGTGATGCCCAGCCTAAAGCTACATTAACGTCTGCTTCCACACCTTCATAAAATATTTTTTTCCCCACTTCTGGACTGACTTCTGTATTCATATTAAAGAATAAACGTCAAGCAGAGCGATTAAGATGATACATAGTGTAGCATAGCCACAATTAGCTAAAGAAAGTTTTGGCTAACTCATAGTATGACCTTATTCACTTTAGAGAGAATACTTTATAGTAAAAAACTGTACAAATAAACGTTTTTTGGTAATGAGAGTGCCTCCTGACATCCTGACGTTATGGAGAAAATAGGATGTAAAAACTCACTTGGAAATCTGATGCCCCATGTACAGGAGGAGGGCAACGAGGACATGAAGGTAGAGCGTAACAATGTGTCTCAGTGGCAGGATCAACACGACCAGGTTTGTCAGGTGAGCTGGGAGACAAAGACGGGCACAGAAGTCAAGTTTCCACAGATTCACTAAAACCGAGGACAGAGAGGCTGAATCCTTCAGGTGCAGCACCTCCAAAACAAGAAAATGGATCCACGTCCCTCACACCTCAAAATATTTTGCTAAGTTACAACCTCGAACTTCACAACGTACAAGGATTTTATGCAGATGCGTAATGGATAGATGTGAAACAGAAGGAAATATGTTGTTTCACATTTTATTTTCGCAGCTAAATTTGAATTGGGTCTCTTATTATGACATTTCATCAGGATAAACTTTTCCTGTTTTAGGTGAGCTAAGAAGACTATCTGCTAAGCAGTTCGGTAACGACGTAGACAACTTTTTAAATAGTTTTTCATGTATTTCCAGAGTATTTGGTCAAATTTATTTTATTTTGTTTGTCATAAAAGCAAAATATTTCTATACTTTATGTACAGTTTTTTTCTTAATTGCTGTTGTGAATATGTTCTTTCGGCAAAGGGCCTTTTTTCAAGTCTGCATACTCCAGTTAAGCATTAATCCATTACTAAATTAGTTGACAATTATCGATTAATCACGATTAATCGTTTCAGCCCTGATTGAAAAGATGCTCTGCAGATGAGCTCAGAATCAAACATTTTGGTCAACGGGCATTCAGGCAAACGTACCACCTCCACCGTGAAACACGGTGGTGGCAGCATAATGCCACGGGGATGCTTTCTTTCTGCACGGATGGCGCGATTTGTTAAAACTGATCATAAAGCCATACTTACCAAGGTAGAACATGTTCCAGATGACATATTTGTATTTGAAGAGCATATCCTCGTTTTTAGCCTTGAGGTTTTCGGTCAGACCCTCGATGTCACATTTGTACAGCAGGTCCAGAACCAGAATGCTGGGCACCCTGAGGGCAATGTTGGCCACTTCATCCAGACGAGGCATTTTGGCTGCAACCAAGTCTTTGGTCACACTGGAGCCCGTTTGTCACATGCTTGTTTGGGGAGGGGGCAAGGCTCAAGTTTCCCTCTGCTTCAACACTCTTTCCCGTGTCTTATCATCTAAAAACAACAACAAAACAAACAGAGTTTAAGCTAGAAGAGGAAGGACCCACAGCCTGCAATTCTGCGTTTTAACCCCCCAAAACAAGGGCAAAGTCTTGCTTTATTATTTGAAGTTGTACAGCATGAGAGGCTGAGGTCGCTGACAGAGCGGATGTTTGCGGCAAAGCAGCTAAAAGTAGCGGCGGTTCACTTACTTGTCACAGTGGCAAGACGTCCCAGCCGAGCAGCCATTTGCTAGCCAAAGCTAACTCCAGCTGGTCAGCCCTCGCAGCCACCATGTTTTCACGGCCGTGCCCCGCTGTCCATCCCCCTACTTCGGCCTCTCACGCGCTGCAGCTACACCTGTCACTGGAACCGATAAATAAGGCGGAAAGACCCGCGCGACATGAGGACGAGTGAAGAGACTTCATATGCGGTGTTATGATTCGGTGCGCCTGCGTGGCCACTTCGACGCGTCCACGTCAGAAGAAGAAAAGAGCCAATCAGGTTGAGGTATTTTACGTTTCAAAGTAAAACTGCGTGCCCTGTCAGGAAGAATGATATGAATGGCCACCTTTTACCGTCGCTTTGGTTCAAATTTAAGGTGGAAAGTGGTTGTATAATGTCTGACATTGTAATAAATAAATAAATAAACGAATATTATTAAAATTTAGATGTAATAATATGCAGGTTTTAATTTTTTTTCTTTAAATGGGTTTGTTGGTGTCACTGTATGTACATTTCTTGACAAAAAATAATCTTATGTATAAGGAAAATGCTAAAGAAAACATTCCTGCTTTTTATTTTTAATTATGTCAGTTTTAGGTCCTCCCTAATATGGAGCATGGAGTCCATCTTTGTCGTGATTGGACTAGACAGTGGATGGAAAATTGCATTGCATTTCCACAACTGAATGTCAGCGAAAGTGCAAGGAAACATATGCTTCATTTCTTTATTTATTTTATTCTATTACCATTTTTCTTGTCAATATTTTGAAGAATAGAAAATATGTTATTTTTTTCCCCAAAAGCTTTTTGTTTTCTTTTGTCGTAAAACCTTGAACTGAATGAAATCATGGCTCTTTACTAAACAACATTTTGATAACTGGAGGGGGAATAAATACTTTTGTGACACGGTGTAGCTTTTATTTTTCAAATCACTCTTTACTGACACTTAAAATACATAAAATTAAAATCTGTGCCATTGCCTTCCTGATTGCTTTGAGTCATCAAATGTGTTTCTCCATCAGAAAATCATCCTGTCTATATGCAACCGACTGATTCTCACAGCAATTCTTTTTTACTGAATAGCTCACCAGTCCCAGTACGTACAATGCAGCCGCTGTGCATCATGTTGCACAGGAGGTGACTAAGAAAAAAGAACTGGTGCATTTCCTGATCAGTTTATCAGCCGTGTGTCTTATCTCTACAGAGGAAGGAAGCTTTTCTTCATGCAACAGAAGTTATTAAACATCTAAACTCTGATCAGGTGAAAAAACAAAAACCCCTTATTGATCCTTGAATAATATAACATCAGCTTCTGACATACTCCATGGAGTCTGTCCAAGAGGCAATACTTGTTACGGTAACATTATCTGTGTGCAATTAGCTATTGTGTTCTGTTCACACATGATGCGTAACGGATGCAGAGTTCTTTGCTAGAAGCGGTGGAAGCTTTAGCAGATAAACGTGTCCATGGAAAACGTCCAAATCTAAAAGCGTCCAGGTTGGGTGACATGAACATAAACTGTCAGCTTTAACGCTGACACAGATCGGCTTCTTCTGAGACTCTGAAAGAGTGGCTCACACACAAACACAAATCAGTGATGATTACTAATGAAATATGTAAAAGATCTGCTGGTGTAAACTGATGTCAAATGTCACCCACCACATAAAAATAGATACGCTGTAACTGTTTCCTGTGTTCCTGAAACACAGGAAGCACCTGCTCAGCAAAAATATTCACTTTTAGGACTTAAATGTGAATTACTTTCTAAACAACTTTTTTTTTCTTTTTTTTTGCATTAAACACCAAATATCATGCGTACATATAGATATAAGATGCTATCCGGTGGTAACTTTCTGTCACTTATAAGGGCACAACGACATCACAAGAGGCAAAGCAACTAGGCTAATCAGTTAGCTTGGGTGGAAAAAAATTGAGGGATGATTTTCACAGTGTATTTTATGAAATACATGTTACACGTCCACAGTGTCTTCTAATTCAAAGATTCGGGAATCAGTCCAGAAATAAACGAAAAATAAGCTCAGATGAGGATGTTGCGTTAGCACGTGTGTAAAATGTTTTCTGCACACAAACCAACATCAGTTCCACAAGGCTCTGATCTCGGACAAATTCTTTTGTCTGCTACCAGTTTAAAATTTTTTTTTTTTTATAGAAAAGTCAATTCATATTGATTGTTGAAATGACTGTGTTTTGCCATTTCACTACTCCTCAGACCTCAATCACAGCTACTACGTCGAACCAGTTAGTACATTTACAGACTTGCCTCGGAGGCCTTGTTGACCCGGACAAACCTTTTGTTACATAAACTCTCAATCCTGCACACTTGCTTCCTTTTGGCTTTTGCTCGCTGAAAGCATTTGAGGTGGAACTTGTTTTTTTTCTGAAATGACTACATACTTAACTGAAGTGGGTCGTTGCAGGCCATCAAGGCGCACATTTCACGCTACATAAGTCATTTCTGAGTTTGACATTTTTCGTGGGAACTGAGCTGGGATTTTAGCTGGGAGGGAGGAGAGAGAGAAGGAGGAGGGACTGAAAGAGGAGGGTTGGAGGTCTGGGTCCATCAGGGTATTAACTACCCAGGATTTTCTCTCCTCCATCACAACTCTGCCGAAGGAAGGGGGGGAAAAAGAAAAGAAAGAAGAAAAAAACCCTTGAGCAAAATGGCAAAGTCATTGTGCGTTTTGGCGTGTCTGCTCTCTCTAAATGTTTTTGTACGCGGAGCTGAATGGACGACAGAGAGTTTCTCTCTTTTACCCAACTATACGACCCCTGAGTCAGCCAACTGGACCGAGGCTCAAACTGTGGGGGAGCGGAGTGGAGCAGGGGGAGAGCAGCTCCGCTCCACGGCGAGTCCTGCGGTCAGTGAACGCAATGTTAGGGCAGACAAGAGGGGAGAAGAGGAGAGAGGGGATCCCACAAGGAAAGATGAGAAGAAAGCAAAACTGGGTAAGACTAAATGAATCCTTTTGGGAAGCTGTGTGTGAACGTTACTCAGTTTCAATTAAACCCACAGTTAATTAACTGATGCATTCAGGGACATTTCAGGTGTCAATTTACCACTTTGTGTTTTATATCGTCAAATAAATAAGTGTGAATTTTTTTTTGTTGTTCTTCTGATGATCTCCTTCCACAGAGGAACAGAGATGAATCTGACTTTACATAACATACAGTGCCCTATATATATATATATAAAAAAAGTAAACCAGGAACAAAATGTTTCACATTCTGCCTTGCTTCAACCAGAAGCTTTAATATATTTTGCTTAGATCAACACAGGCCAACAGAAAGAGGCATTTAATTGTGAAGTGGAAAGAAAGCAACTGGTGACGTTGAGTGTTTTTACAAAAACACTCAAAGTGTTTTTAAAAAAACTTGGTGGGAACAACACTATTTTTAAAGCTCTATTACATTTTCAATTGGATTTAGATGTGGGCTTTGACTGGGCCATTCAAACACATTGCAGGTTTGGCTGTTTGGGGTAATTGCTGTACTGGAAAGTGAAGCGTCACCCCCCGGCCCCAATCTCATCCATCTTTTTTCTTTTTTTCTTTTTTTTTTACAATTCTGACTGGCTTTCCAGTCGCCTTTGAAGAAAAGAGCCCACAGCATCACACTCCCACCGCCGTGCTTCCCAATTGGGACAGTTTGTTGAAATGCACCAAACAGATTACACTGTATTTCAGAAGACAACGAAGGTATTAGATCAGTCAAATAGTAGATTTATGTTGCTAAAAACCTTTGTTTGACAAACAGTGACCATAAGAACTTTTCTTTTTTAAATTTCCGATGACATTTAAGGCGTACGTAAGAAGATGGGGATTGGAAAGAAATGACGTTTTTCTCAGGATTCCGAGGGAAAGAAAATCCAGAATTTGGGTAGAAAAAGTCAAAATTCAGAGATTAAAATCAGAATCCTGAGAAAAAAACTCTTTTTCAGTGGTCCTAATCCTTTTTCCTTAAGGATGTCTCGTTTCAGATCCCACACCCAAACTCAGAATGCATTTTTTATTAACCGCAACATTTCTCATTCGAATCCATAACCCTCTCTGCAACCGGAGCTCCTCTCACTTTGCTCTAGCTAAACATTTTCTTTTTTTTTTTTTCTTCTTTTACTTGGATCTTCGGCTCGTCTCAGATTGCATCCAAACCCTCCTGCACCTCGTCTTATCTGCATCCCCCTCCGTCCCAACCCGGCCTTCTGAGGAGGCAAGGGCCTCAAACATTCCACTGAGCCGATTAGCGGTGTTTTACATAACAACCCACGTCAAAAACCTCATTTTTTTGGCGTCATCCATCTCGTGTTTCGCTGCATTCGTCGACAGACCAGAAAGCGAGCTCTGAGGACCTCAGGTCGTCACAGTTTCCCACTGCTGTCACGCGTCACGTCTCTGAAACTTGCTGTCTTGCTCGCAGACTGCCCTCCGCTCGGCCTGGAGTCGCTGAGAGTCGACGACAGCCAGGTGCGAGCCTCGTCCCAGGAGAGGACGGGCCTGGGTCCCCACAGAGGGAGGCTGAACATCCAGGTCAGAGAAAACACAGAACACTCACAGCTCGGGATGTTGAAAATGTGAATAGAAACGATGCACAGCATGTGACGGCAAAAACTTTTTTTCTTTTTCAACTCTTTGGAACAAGACTAAAGACGAACCGTCGTCATCCCGCGAGAAACTTGTCTGTCTTCAAAACCCTTTCGATGCTTTAGAATAGTGCTAAACAGCAAATTTACATCAGGAAACGTTATCACAAAAATAGATTCACTCCACTCCGGTGAATGTTTGAAAGCCTTCGCTTGACATTGAAAATAAAATATACCTGCGGAAATGTGGGCTTATTGAAAACCTAACTTTAGGATGCTACTTTAAATATCCAAATTTATTGAACAGATCCTGATTAAAGTTCGCCACGTGATTTACAAGTAAAACGTTGCACGCTGTGTTTGATAATACAGTAAATCGGATTGTTGCGTAAAAAGAAATAAACTACAATCTGAATCCACAGCCTGAGACTCGAGCCGTCTGCAGCGCCTCACAGGTTTTCTTCTAGCAGCTAATTGAATTAGTTTAGCTCAAGTGATTCATGATTCTGATTTCAGAATTATTCAAATCAGGAAATACTCAAATTAGCTGCAACAATATACATTTTTTACAAGTTGGCTCATATTTTTCAGTGTATGCTCAGAGAAAAGAGAATGGAAAGAGTTGATGTA